TGGAGTCTCCTACTCTGGAGGTCTTCAAAACCCGCCTGGATGCCACCCTGTGCCACATGCTCTAGGTGTGCCTGCTTGAGCAGGAAGGTTGGACTAGATGATCTCTAGAGGTCCCTTCCAACCTTAAATATTCTGTGAATCTGTAAAATACCTGTTCTGGCAAACATCATATTATGCAAAGTTATTTAAACTATGATATAATGTATGTCAGCATTGTGGGTTTTTTTTTTGGGGGGGGAGGGATTGCTTGATTGGTTGGTTGATTTGGTGGGGGGAAGGGGCATTTTCTTTTTAAGAAAATGGCAAAGAACTATGCCTGACTRTAAATGAAAAAAAAATACTAAAAAATTTATGTCATGCTATAAAATGCTGAATATGGACAAATTTATCTAAATATTAGCACATAACAGGTAAAAGATTTGGTTCTGAGGATAAGGGTCCGATCTACTCTGAACTCTAGGAAAAGTGAAGGGATGGACAAGAGACATGAAGGGCCAACCTTGCGCTTGGTGCTAAAAAAGAGATAGGAGAGCTGCAGAGAAACAGACAGTCGCACCTCTCTAGGAGTATTCCYTGCCCTGGCCTTGCCCACTTGGACCCAGCCCTGATTGCATATTTTATCACCATCAAAACAGAAACCTTGACCCACGTTAGAAATTTTCCAGAGTGTGAAATACAGTGCAAAAGGACAACCAGCTATCTTTACTATAATGCATATCTGGAAAGATGAGAATTCAAAGGTTCCTTTCTTGTGACTTTTCTACCTAACAAAGCTGTCAACTAAAGTATCAGTTTAGATGGAACTGTGGTCTTAACAACATTAATGTGTACTACACCTCGGAACAGGTATCCTCAATTTATAATTAAAGCAAGATATCTTCCCACAATTAAGGCTTATCTGACTTTCTCATCTAAAGCCCATTCAGTAAGTATGGGGAGACCAAGGCAGGATGATGTAAAGAGAAGGCAATAACTGCATTTAGAGAGTTTAGTTACTGTGTGCACTTCAGTAGTTAGCTGAAAATACCAGGTTTTGTTTTACCACTCCTTTACCTTTACTATGCATGTGGGCTGCAAGCCAGTTGCTGTTGCTGGAGTTTCCTCTTTCTGTCCACTGGAAATAACTGCACTGAATTTCAGTTTGAATAAATTCCCATAAAACCAAAACAGCTTTCCTTTTGCACAGCTTTTATYCACATATTTTCTACTTTAGGACATCACTATTACATACCTATTTATAAGATGACAGTGAAATTTATTGTGAAAAACATACTTAATTTTATCTTATTCCATTTCTCATAAAGATATTTGATAAGCAGTAAGTTAAAGGACCCTGCAGATGTTCGGATCTCTAAAATAAGGGTTACTTCTTTAATCCTATGCTGTCTGAAATAAACTGAAGCATGCTTTATGTAAGTACTTTGAGGCAAAGGTAAAAAAATTCACAGTTGAAAATTGGATATTTAAAGTTTTCACCTTGTTTTCTTCTCCAGTTGGTATTTACCTTGTTTCAAAATATTTGCTTGCCTTAAACTGCGTGCACTTTTTTAGCCATTTCTAATATYTTAGTGCCTATCATTTCAGGTTTTAATTGCTATAAAAGCAGCTCCTTTAAGACATAACACAAAATATTTCACAAAAACAATGTACTTTATGATAATTGAGCCAGAAAGCCAGGAGTACTCTAAGATGATCACATCTCACAAGGCCTTCTCCATGCTGTGTTACTGGCTCTGGCTTTCATCAGGAGCAGTAATGGCTGAAAATTGATTCTGCACAGTAAATTCCTTCAATGAGAATAGCAGTTTTGTACCCCAACCAGTGCCAGCCCCTCCCAAGGTCACAGAGACAAAAGAGGCAAATAAACCACCACTATTTTGTTTATTTATAATTTTTTTTTTCCCCGTGCTGCGCCCGCCCTTCAGCCACAGCCCCTAGGGAGCGCTCGCCGCCCTGAGAGACTCCCCTGCGACTCCTGCCCAACACCGAGGGCCGCCCGCAAGGGGCATCCTGCCAACGGCCCCAACGGCTGCGCGCAGGCGCCAGGCGGTCACGGGGGAGGGAAGGAGGCGGCTCCCGAGGCCGCCGGTTCCTGCCGCTCCGGCACTGCGGGGCCCGCGGCGGAGGTAGCGCCCGCGGGCGCGGGGGACGGGACAGTCTCGCGAGCTTTCGAGCGCGGGGCGGAGATGGAGGTGGAGGAGGCGCGGCGCGGGGGGGGGGAGAGGGGGTAGAGGGGCGCGGCGTTGTGGGGCGCGTTGATAGCCGTTAACGAGCGTTGCGTGCGCGTTGCTGTTGGCGCGGGAGAGCCCCGTTGCCGTCGGGGGCCGCGGCTGTCGTGTGTGTAGCCCGCGCTGGACTGTGTGGGTCTGGGGCAGGAGTGTTGCGCTCCGGAGGCTGGAATGCGTTGGGCTGGGAGGTTGGAAGCGGAAGGGATGTGGTCAGCTTTAAAATCTACATGCTATGCTATTTTATTTTATTTTATTTTATTTTATTTTATTTTATTTTATTTTATTTTATTTTATTTTATATTTTTAACAGTGGCGTTTATTTTGCGACCGTTTGAATTGTCACTGGCCTTTTTGCGTTTGCTGTACTAACAAGCTGCGTTTCGCGGGTTTGGTCGTGTTTTGCTTGTTGGCTGTTTACAAAAAAATAAAAAGAGGCAAAAAGTCAAGGGGTGGGTTGCACCTCATGCAGCAGGCGAGGAAGTGTAAGAGCTGAAACGAAGCCTGATTATTATTGGGATTAAATGTGATAGTGATCTGAAAACTCAAACAGAATCCCGTTTTATTCCTTCTTCTCTTGTTGCCCACCTGCCTCGTTTTCAGCTTTTTATTTTTTTTATTTATTTTATTTATTTATTTTTTTTTTTTTGTGAGCAAGTTCATTTTAGCTCTTACACTTCACTCTCAAAACCTTGCTAAGTCAAGCCTGCTTGACTCCTTTGGCTTTTCTTTGCTAAGCTCCAACACTGCTACTTTCCAAACACTTAATTTGAAGGCAAAATAACTCTCATTCTTCAGCTGGATTAGAAGTAACAGCACATTTATGTTTTTAATTATAAGGATTTTTTTCCTCTTTCTTTGCATTAATAATCTTAGTGCTTCCTCTTTCCAAATGGTACAGTTCTTTTTTTATTTTTAGAGGTGGATAGCATACTGCTAGGTTATTGCTGGTGAGAGAGAAGTGCATGCTAAATAATTTACTTCAAATTGCAGCATTGTTTCAGTCTCAGTGTCATATCAACTGTTGATCTCAAACTGTCAGTGTTTTAAATCATACCTTGAGAGCTGACCATGTGGGAGTATTGTGAAGACTGTTCTGTCAGGACCTTAGTGTGCAGCTACTTTTGACTACTCATTTTTTCATCTTTTTCAACAGGTTATGTTTAGAAGAGAAGTTGCTATCGTGTACTTCTGTGGTGTCCAACAGTTTATCTGTTGATACTTATGTACTTCCTTTATAACTTCATGGTAGAACAACTTTCAAGGGCGCCTGTTTGGTTACTGCAGCATCTGAATCCAGAGGTTGATTTAAAAAAATGTGGACTGCCAAAACTCTTTTTAGCACTCAAGTACAGTTACTTCAGTTGACAGGAGGCACATTATCTAGTTGCATGTTTTCAGAAAGTCGACAGTTTTGGATTAGTATGCTAAACTATTGTACGAGATGGGCACCACATAACAGAGCTAAATGCCAAGTAAGTATTTTTTGTGGTGCGGTAGATACCTGCATGGTACAGATTGATTCAGAGTTAATATGATTTCATTGAGAACCTAAAGGGTTAAGCTTTTGCACTTTTGGCCTGAGCTGAAGATGCATTCTGTAAGTTAGAGGTTAGAGAGCTGGTGGTAGSAAGTTACTGGAGACCTTGTTTCAGTATAAGCTTCTTTATACTAGTATAAACTTCCTGTATTAATATTGAATACTGAAGATATTGAAGAAAGGGCAAAAGAGTTTCTACTGGATTGGTAAGAGAGAAAGATMCAGAAGACTCCGTTCGTTTAAAAAAAAAAGAAAAAAGTCTATACAAAAAAAGTATAAAAGCTACATAAAATATGAAAATAAGATTGATCTTGAGACTTAAAATTCCAAGTTGGATTGTTTGYCCTTTTTTTAGTAGTACATAGCTATATATAGTTGCAGGAACCATTAAAAATATAAATAGCTGCATTATTCTGTGAATAGTATTGTATTTTCCAGTTAGTTAAATGGGGGCTAAGCAGTTATGAGAAAATCTACATACTCTTACAACTATTTTAAATAGATTAATGCAGTATGTTAAAGATTTTTTTTTCATGCCTGCTGCTTCTCTTCAGAGCAATAATATTTGACTATGTGGTTTTAGATTTCCAAGATAAATGATGAAAAATCTTTAGCAGATGCAACAGCTACTGTTGGTGCACAAGAAAATAAAATAGCTACTGAAAAAAGTCCCAGTGGAATACGTAATGGAAAACACCRTTCATTAGAGGGTATTTAACCTTTTTTTACTTTATCTTAGAAGCAATCTCTATGTATTTGTTGCAATGTATATTCTTGTAATAATAATCAAGGTGGTCTAAATTATTAACTTTAGTTCTGCATCATGTGTTGAGTTTTTGTTTGTGTCTTAATGACTGGGTTGTGTATTTTTTTTTTTTTTATTCTAACTTAACTATTAAAATGCTTATTCAACCTCCCTGGACAAATGCAAAACTTGTAGCTTTCCCACATTCCCCTTAGCAACAATGGTAACTTAAGGCAGAACCCTGTCATTTTGGATGGGTAATTGTCCATTTTGGACTAGGAAAATCAGTTCTTTGAGTATTCACTGACACCTGTAAATGCTCTTGGATGTCAGTAAACTTTGTCTGGTGTTTGGGATGTTTCAAACAGGGAAAAATAAAACAACGTTCCTGAGTGAGTTGTGAGCTGACATTTCTGGTTTATGGAAATGTAATGATTACTGTGAGATCTTTAAATATGATCTTTATTTTAGCAATGTTTCCTTGCTTTTCTTGCCATGACTTTGCTTGTTTTCTCATTCCTAGCTAGTAACTAATCCTCAAATGTGGCRGTTTGCATCATGCATTTTTATCGTATGCTACTTTAAAGTAGTTTTTAGCTCCTGTGCTTCAGGGTGTTTGGTCATCCTTATTCTATGTATATTTAATTCTTGTGTGTAAATTTTCTAGTCAGTTGCTTTAGGCTTTTTCAGCTTTTGTTTACAAACCGGATGACTGTAATTAAAACTGATGAAATCAATGAGAGTATATACTGCTTACATAATTATATCGTCCAGAAAACAGCATTATGAGGAACTGTTGTGCTATTTGTTGTACAAGACAATTAASATGAGAGCATCTACCCTGAAAAAAGCTGTTTGGCAATATATCCTGATTCTGCAGTACAGATTTTTTTTTTTTTTGTACTTACTTTGCAGGTTTGTACTGTGAATAGATGAGATATTGTAAAGTATCCAAAAACGAATCCCCCCACACAACTTGAAGTATATTTTTTAAGCACTACTGAATCCATCTGACAGATGTGACAATCTTTAAAAAAAAAACTGCTAAGGTTGTGCTTATTCCTGAATACTCTTGAAAACTCTACAGCGTATGCACTGTCTTGTATTCTATGGAATATTTTGAAGCCATCTTGTAATGTATATTAAAATATTCTTAGACATGTTAATATTCTAACTTTYAAGTTTCTTTCTTGAAAGATAACGTCTTCAGCTTATTTTTAATCCTCTATTTTTTTTTGTGCTGAAGTGTTGTGAAACAGTTCTTTCATATTAAGAAAGAAAGATTTCTGCTGTTTTATAAATTAGCTGAAGAAATAGAGTCTTGTTCTGTGTCCCAGTGTGACCTCATTCCCATTTTTGGTACTCTAATAAATTGTCAGGGAATAGTCATACTGTACTTAATTTTTTCCGTATATCTTGAATTGTTACAACCCTACTATTCTTTTTTTTTGGTCATAGAATCATAGAATCATAGAATCATAGAATGCCAAAGGTTGGAAGGGACCTCAGAGGTCATCGAGTCCAACCCCCCTGCTCAAAAGCAGTGCTATGCCAGATCATAAAAGTGCTATGCCAGATGTCATAAAAGCAGTGCTATGCCAGATCGTTAGAGAAACAAAAGGTTTTGCCTCATGTTGTTTCTGAGATAGGCTATTTTAACTTGCAAATCAAGTGTTGCCATGACATTGCAAATCTCAAAAGAAATGGGAAGCTTTATATTCTTACGAAACAGAGTATCTTACGAAACAGAGTATCTTGGTACCCGTCTCTCTTACGATTTCACACAGGGCATTCATTCATCTAATGAATGCTTTCTCATCTTTTCCTCTTACTCAGAGAATTTTCTGAAGGTGAAACCAGACTGCCTAACTGTCAATGAGAAGCCTCTTTGCTTAATCTGCATCTATTAAGCAGATCTGTATAGAACCATCATTTTTGTGCTTGATTTCTATGTGTCGTCTTTGTAGGTCATCTGTCTTGCTGCAGACCTTTTTTCTTCCAGCCCTTGTTTCAGTTAGTGTGCAGAATCCCCCTGCAGATAYATAGTGCTGAAGGGAATGTCTATTGTCATTCTCTTTTATATAATGGTTTATAATATTCCTCTAATTATAGTAGTTTGAACAAAAGAATTGTCAGTAAAATTTCACATAGAGAACTGGCTGTCACTTACGAATTTAAACATTATACTTTTTTTTTTTTTTTTTTTCCAAGACCCAACTGGATAAAGCTTGTAGCAACCTTGTCCAGTTGGTTTGATCTCAAAGCTGAACGTGCCTTGCTCCAGAAGGTTGGACTGGAGAACTCTTGAGGTCTATCATGCAAGGATTATTTTTTAAGCAGTATTTACCCACATAAAAAATTCTTCCATGTATATGCAAAAGCCATTTTTGTGTAGTCTTGCAGTTGTACGAAATCACTGTATCTGCCATTTGAACCTGAATGTCGTTTGCCAATTCAGATTTGTACTAAAGTATTTTTAGATACAGTTTACATGTGACAAACATAGCATAGGCCTGGAAAGTGGCACTAACTAAATGACTAAATGTAGTGTCCTTATATCAGAGATATATTTTTAGTTTTGGTTTAAAATCTGCTTGGGGAAATTTGTAAAGCAGATTTGAAGTGGATCAAAGCAATTATTTTTCCGAAGTTGATTTTCTTGGTTTGTTACAACACAACTGCTTTAAGTAATTTCACTTTTTTTGGCAGAGTACCCCTTTCTATATGTGCACTTTCCCTCCAAACTTGCAAGAAGTATATAGTGCTTAGTTAACCTGTATGTTATACATTAAAAGCTTAAAAGTATCATTTTGTTTGCTGTTTTCYAGCAAACTCGTTATATCTGTTCTGCAGCATGGTGATTTTTTTTTTTTAATTAAAAGAGCCTTTCTTTTTGAGAGCAGTATGGCTCATATTCCCAGACCAAAAACCAAACTGAAACATGTTCCGTCAGTTCAAAATATCTTTAGATTTAAGCTATAGGTATTCTTATTTATTAATTGGTATCCAAGCATTTTTCAGTGTATAGGAGATAAATGTGACATGACCTTCTGATCATGCTTATGATAATATATGTTTTTAGCAAATGATTGATCTTTTAATGCAACAAGAACTGTATGCTCTGGTGCTGTGAAATATGCTGTGTTTTTTTTTTTTTTTTTGATCTGTGGATAGTTGAATTTTAAAGGCATTCTGAGGTTAAAAATGTTGACACTGCTCAGTTTTGTAGAATCAGTTTTGTAGTTCAGTAGAATTTCAGCCTTAKAAATCCAATGAAGAGGTATTGGCTTGCATTTCTAATGTCTGATGTTTAAAAATAAGACCTACAAAAATTAATAGAATCCATTAATTGCTTTTACATATTCCATGAGCTCTATTGAGTTTTCTCTTTCTTGCTGTTACTCAGTATTCCCATGTGTTGTAACTTGTCACCTAAGTAAGAAGTAGTGGATGGGGTTTTATTGCCTCTCTCTCTGCTTCTCTCTCATCCTTCCACATGGCAACAACAGTGGACAACAAGGCCCCCTCATGGTCTGATTCTAACCATACCTGGGTAAAGCAGTTGAATTTAGTTTGTCTTCCTGTTGGAGTGTTTTCCAAAGTTGTTGCCTACCCTTTTTTATTATTATTTTTACTCCTCCCAYGGCCATGCTGAATAGGCAGCTTACAAATCCAGTACTGTACGCATCTTCTTCTATTAGAATTTACAGCACCGTATCTGTAGATGGYTTCCTACCATTATGAAACAGAATTAACTAATGTAATTGTATTCATATTGATATGTACCCAAATAGATTAGGGATTTATTTTTAATAAAATGCAGAAAAATATAAGTGCTAAGTATTTTTCTCTCAGAATTGTCGTTATTTACAACAATAGCTAATAAAATTCATGGCCTCAGTTGGATGGTTTATTTTAAGAGGMAGTCAACAGAAGGCTGAAACTTCCTGTTTGTGATTTTTGTTACTTTTAATTCCATCCTTGCAACTTTCAGTGTCTGTGTTTTTGCACGTTTTGCACGTGCTTTCTTACCCCTCTTAGGGGTAGCAGTGATACCTTGTGTATTTTTTTTTAATGAGAAATTATTAAATCTAGTTTCCTGACTGCAAACCTTTATTTCCACAGCAAAAATGAAACATCTGAACCTATCATTTGCAGCTTGTGGGTTTCTGGGTATTTACCACTTGGGGGCAGCAGCTGCTCTTTACAGGCATGGTAAGAAGTTACTGAAAGTTGTGAAAGCGTTTGCGGGAGCTTCTGCGGGATCACTGGCTGCCACTGTCTTATTAGCAGTACCAGAAAATATAGAGGTAAATTAATAAACTTATAGGTATAGGATATGATCATTTTCAAAGGATATGTTTAAAAGTTTTAATCATGTCCTATGAAGTTTTTCTTAATGAAATATTTTAATTGTTGCTTTTTTTGTTGCTCCTTATAAAGCAAGAGGACTTGTATATGTTTTTCTCAAAACTGTGATACCTGAACAAAAAAAGTTTAKGAATGTTTGTGTCTCTTTCTTTAAAATCCGTATTCAGTTCATAGTAAAAAAATCATAGATTTTTCTGTTTACCTAGTTTAAAACATGAAGTCTATTCAAGTTTTACAAGTAGGAAAACAGTATACAAAAGCACCACTGAATGTCAGTGGAAGATTAACCCTAACAAAGTTCTATTCTAATAATTTTTGCGTATATTTTCTTTCAAGAGGTGTCACCCTTTTATTGCCATGGAAATAGCGTCATAATCCRTAAAAATCTCTAAACAGTCTTCAGTAGTGTTTTCATAAAAGTTTCTTTGGAGGGGCAGTTACTTTTCTTTTTTTCCTTCCTTAGGTTATTTTGCTCTCCTGAAGTGCCTTTAGAAGATTGGGGTCTTAATCCAATGTGTAGCATATAAGACACAACAATTGCTTAGATTTATGTGTTTGCTTATTTTAAGGTTTCTTTTTTCTTTGAAAAACAAAATAACCACTAAGTGTCTTGTTTTCATACTCTGACTATGCTTTAATATATAGAGAAGACRAAGCCTTGCTAAGTGTTAAGATTTTATTTAAATATATATATGTATACACACACATATTTATGTGTGTGTCTGTATTTTAATATTTAGAATATGACGCAACAGTACTTCAGGAATTCAAGATGCTAGATAAAATTTTATTCAAAGTACAWTCTAATTCTAATCTAATTCTAATCTTATTCTAAGTAAGCTTTCAATATTCCTCRGATAAGCTTTACCAGGACTCACTGTCAGAACTTTCACCATTTTTTCATTCGAACATACGTGCCAAGAGCACGTTTTGCCACTGACATTTTTTTCTTGCTAGGATACCAAATTAGCTTGCAGATTTATCTATACTTCTGTTGCTTTCCTTAGTACGTTCATCTTCTCTGGCATCTTCTCCCCTCCCTCCATTGTATTCTGTATGCGACTCAGTAGAAGGCAGATTCTTCTTTGTTGTGAAGAGAACTTTATTTGTATTCTCTTCATCTCTTGCTCTTGTTCTGTAGCCTTTGACGGCCAGTTCAGTTTAAAATTATTTGGTGCAACACATACTTTTGACCTGATTTGACCTTATTTCCTGTATGACGGTCACAGCAACTAACCTTTTTTTACCTTAAGGAGATTAATCTGTTCGTTCTTGACTTCTGGGTCTGAGCTTCTATTCCTTTCCCAGTCTGGTCCTACTTACAAAATAAAAGTTCTAAGTGAAGAAATTCTATATTTTAAAAACAGGAGGGAGGGGAGTTACTATCTATATTGTAGATATGAATTCTCTAGTACTTTTTTTTTTTTTGAAAATGTCTTCGTATTATCATGAGCTGAAGAATGCTTCATGAACTTTTTAGTCCTTTAGAATTTTTCTAATGATATTTAAGTCATTCTGTTACATTATTTAAATGGAAAACTATAAGAACCCTCCCTGTCATGAAGGGAGGAGGAAAACACATCTGAATTCTCATGGAATTTAAGCAAAGGCAGTGCTTTAGTGCAATAGCACCAAATAGAAAATGTTTATTTTTATTGTTTTCTTTAAAATCTATATATTTTTTTCCTTTTGGCATGATTATATTATCATTTTTTACAAAAAATAAACAATGATATGTAAGGAATATTTCCAACTGTTGAAATATTTGATATCTGCAAGTCTTAACTCTCATATCAATTAGTGTTTTCTTTTTTTCCAGAGATGGTTAGAAAAGCTGTAATTAGCTCTTTCTGCAGGTTCCAGTCTTAAAGCTGTAATAGATCATTTGGGTAACACTGAGTATACTGTTACTGAGTGTAACACTAGAAGTGTCTTATTTTGACTATTACTTTTCTATTGCAACAACTCACAAATGTTCTTCAACAATATCTTGGATTTTTGTTGCTGTTGAAAGAGCAAGAGAATTGAAAATCCTAGGACCACATTTCCAAATGTACAGAGGTCTTAAAGGTTACTTAAGTGAGTTCAAATGGCTGCCATTTCTAAACCTATCAGCAGTCACTTCAAAATTTTGATGTTTACAGTTTTTTCATGCTAACAATTATAAACAATCTGTAGCTGTAAGTAGAAATTGTCCTTTTGGCATCAAAAATTGAAAATCACTGTATGATTTGTTAACATCCTTTATGATTGGGAAAGTAGCTTTCTGTCATTCTTGTATATTAGATTAACCCAGCTTCTGTTACCTGTATTACCCAGCTATTTTAGTCACTTTATCAAGACATCTTAGATATAAGGACAGCAATTCTGAGGTACCTTTCATCATGTCTGTCTTTTATTTAGTTACAGGAACATACTAATGTGTCTTTGTGCAAAAAACAAACAATCCAAGTTCCCCCCACTAGCTATATGCAATTCTTCCATTTTCTAAATATCTGGTTGTTAAGTGCATATGAATGCAGTATATTTATTGGATAAACTATTTTCGGAAAGTCAGATAAGATTGAATTGCAGATTTTTTTTCCCCCCAAGTCAATAAAATTGGAACAGGAATCTTTGTGAAAAGGTAGAAAAATGAATACTGAATGAGTCTTAAACTTCCAGAAGCACAACTCAGTTTCAAAATCTTTTTGTTAAAAAATAAATGCTACATATTCTTTCACTTACAGATTTTTTTTTCCTTTTTTGCCTCCCATTTAAAGTTATTTTTCCATAGTCATTAAAGCTGTTTCAGCTTGCTTAGAAGAAGTTATTTGTGCAGTGAAATATGTAGTCTRGTATTCTGCACTTGTCTGTGCCTTTATCCTCTGTTGTATCCTCTGTCAGTTTTTGTCCCACAGTGTATTCATTAAATGCATGTATTTGAGTGGTGTGGGATTTTTTTGCGTTAGTGGAAACCTTTTTTTAAGGCTTACAGTCATCTTGAAGTAGTTATGTCTATGTTTACTACTGAGGTAATGTTCAAGATAAAATGTGGCTGTAGACTTCAAATGCAAATTCTTGTTCATATRAAGACATGGTTCAGAGAATTGATATAACAGTGATCATACATGACAAATTTGCCATTAACATACCTTAATTGTTAATAAGGGATGGTCTTTTTTTTTTAAATTTAATTTGGGATCTTTTATAAGTTGCCTTGCAAATCAGTTCTTACAAAAGAGTCAACAATTTACTTTGCTTATGTTACCTAACAACATAAACCAAGCACACACAGGAAAATGTCTTAGTCTGATCTTGTAACTTAACTGTTGATTAAAAGCTTAACTATTTTATGTACTGCAGTTAGACCTGCTTTTGATAACTAAAACATCATTAATGATGACTATTTTAATTTTCAGGAATGTAAGCAGTTTGCCTATGAATTTGCAGAGGAAATTAGAAAATTGGACTTCGGTGCTGTAACGCCTGGTTATGATTTCATGAAAAGACTTAGGTACCTATCTTAATATATCTTTAAAATTCACTTTTGTTTGAAGATCTCTAAATACAAATGATTAAATAAAAATTTTGAAATTAAATAAAAAAGCACGGATGCTTTTTGCATAGTCTGGGGATCTGGACACTTTTTCACCTGAAATACTTGCAAACTTTTAAATTAATGTATATAATGTTTATCATTTTCTTTAGGGGAGGCATAGAGTCTCTTCTTCCGGCTGATGCTCATGAGATAGCTGAGAACCGGCTCTATGTATCAGTCACTAACACCAAAAATGGGGAAAAYTATTTGGTTTCAAGTTTTACATCCAGGGAGGACCTCATTAAGGTAATGAAGTTGCATGTTGCTACTTTAAATAAAAATGTATGAGTACTTTCAAGGCATAGGCGTATGTTATTGGCTATTGGCTAAATCATTATTTTAGCCATGCAATCACTTAAATTAAAGTATTACTGTTTGTATAAACAAAAGAAGCAGAATTTGTTCCTGCATTTCTGCACTTTGTTATTTTGGTGTATTCAGCTATTTTTTAAAGTATTTATAAACAAATTCAACTCAAAAAAAAGGAGAAAGAATTAACAGAGGTTGTTAACGGCTACAGTAGATCAAAATCCCCAAATTTGGTTGACACTTCTACAGTCTTATACTGATCAACAATCTTTCTTTATTATTTAGATTATTTAAATATGTTTTGTCACAAAAGAAAGTAAACAAAAGGCAGCTCCTATTCAACCTTCTCTTGTCTACCCCCAACGCCTCCCTACCCCCCCCAAAAGAAAAAAGGCTTTTCCAGCGCTTCCTACAAGTCTTTCTCAAAATCCTTTTCAGGAAAGGATATCTTGTAGTGGTAAGTCCTATATATGAACTGTGTGTGCAGCTGGAAAGCATGTCTTTTTATTTTACTACCCATCCCTTTTTTTTTTATGTGCCACTTTTTAAATTTGGATCAGAATTGTAAACTTGTACTGATGTTAAAGAGTTGGAGGAGTGCAGATGTATGAATCTAGAGGAAGTGTTTTTTCCTTTCTGAAACCCCATAATTTTAACAATTGATTACATTTTAGTGGTGGTGGTAATCAGACATGAAGAAGGAAATGGAAAAAAGCAGGAATCTTTGAAAACAAATGAAAAGGAATTCCTTCTCTTCCTATATTTCTGGACATTTAGAATTAATGGGAAGTGCTTGATGATTAACACTGCTTAAAGGGGAAAAATATATATTTATTACCAAAATCTGCAGTGTATATTAGAAGTCAGTCTCTAAAATTTTTATTTATTAATTTATTTTAATCTTTCCTCTGTTATGTTCTACTCAGTCTATTGGTTTTCAAAATTGGTAGGAGTTAATCATGCAAAGATAATTATTGAATGTTAATTTGCTGGCATGGTTTGGTAGAGCACAGAGCTGGGTAGGACCTTGTTAGTTTACATAATTCTGTTACTTGGCCCCAAAGCATGATCAGCCGTATCCAAATCATGATGGACAGACAGTTTTAACAGCAGAACTCCTTTATACTCTGTYAGAGATGTTTGGCCTCCATAGGTAATTAGTTTCAATGCTTGACAAACCTTATAGTTCAGATGCTTTTCCCTAATGGCTAAAATGARTATCTGCTGTTGCAATTTTAAGCTCTTGTCATATTCCCAATGCACCTGGAAAGCAGTTGATCTTCCCCTTCTGAAGGCAAGCTTTACGTGTATGAAGAGCATCGTCACGTACTCGTATTCCTAGTCCTGCAACGCTTCAGCTGGATGTGAGAGAAAAGCATGTTACGTGTTCATGAGGGAACAGTACACAAAGCTCCACTGTATTTAGTCTAGAGTTGAGGAAGCACTGAGTAAGAGTTTGTCTTTCTCTGTTAGGGTTAAGAAAATGCTGAAAGAGTTAATTCTTTGAAGTTGTCCTTCCTTTCCTCATTCCTGAGGCTTAAGTGACTATGTAAGTTGGGTCAACTGCTTTCTTCAGTTCTTGAGAATTTACAGTTTGCAGTGGTCACCTGGTTTTGTTTGGTCTTGTGTTTTTCTTTAGACCAAATTTAGTAGGCTAGAACTGAAAGAGAGAAAGTAAGTAGGGCAGCAGAYATTGAGCTCTTAGAGAACACTTCGGAAGGTCTGAGGAGGAATGGGTTTGAAGAGGACGTTTTCTTATGGCTGTGTGAGGGAAAGGCCAGTCTTAAAGAAAAAGCTACATTTCACATTTGAAAAATAAGAAGCTTTCTATCTGACCTGAGGTTGTTGAATGAGGAAGTAAGCAAGAAAAAATTCTCAAACTGGGAGCATCTCTGCTTAGTATCTCTGATTGGAACTTGCTTGAAGAAGAGAGGTGTTCAATACTGCAAGTAACAATTTATTGTGAAGGGAGGTTCAATTACACCTAAAGTGATTAAGCATTATGCTTATAATTGTCAYATTTATTTTTTGCACCTGATGGCCCTGTAAAATTTAAGCACCCCCTTCTATGCTCTGCTTGTTTCCMAAATTTGTCTGACATGCATATACAAACTTGCATGCAGGCATATGCAGCACAGTCATATATTTGACTATTTCTGATTCATTCACATCTCCCCATCCACTTTGAAGCACTGTATACGAATTGCAGCTGTGTATATATATTCTATGTCTTTGCATATTTATATGTATATACAACATGTCTGCACATATTCACATTTGCACACAGAGAGAAAATGTTAAAAGAGAGTGGRAGGGATATGTGAGTGCATCTATGACAGAAGATAGGCCTCAGTCTGAAAAAGCTGAAAACTGTTTTTTTATGTAGCATGACAGCTGGATGCTAATGACAGCTGAAGACTAGATTTTTGCCATAAGCCAACTAAATGGTAATGCAGACATAGCATCAACCTATTTGTAGTATGTTTTCTTTTGGTTTTAAGTGACATTAATGTGTTAATTACTGTTCATCTAATAGAGATAAATATATATGAARATATTGGTTCAGAAATATTTTGCCTTCACTGCTACCTCTTTTTTTCTCTCTAGGTCCTGCTAGCAAGTAGTTTTGTGCCAATATATGCAGGAATTAAGCCAGTGGAATACAAAGGAGAGGTAATTTTGCATTGTATTTGTGTACATATATATACATATATTTTTTTTATCTGTGAGGTAACTGATTTCAGAAGGAGGATAAATGACAATTATGATACTGCATTCAGCAGAATAATTATTGCTTCTCTTGATACTATGGGTAAATGCCTATCAATTTCATTCATATCGATCTTAGGAAATTGTGGGTACTGAAATGGTCTCTTGTAACATGAAGTTGTTTCCTAAAGATAGTCTTTCTAGCATGTAAGCATGGGAAGTTGCTCCCTTTAATAGAGACACTTCCCATGGTAAGCCATGTTACCATCTGTAAAATAGTCTTTGCAACTTACAGACAAAAACTCGTCTATGTGGGGTTTTTTTTCTCTTTTTCTTATTTTTTTTGTTATTAGACTGTTAAAGGCAATCTTGTCCAGTCTTGGAAATACAGACACCACTTTACTTCAGCAGTGACCATTATATGCAGTGAAATTTTGTTGAGAGCATAAAAACAGTGGTTCATCTGTCATCCTCAGATCTGTTACCTTGGGACAAAAAATATTCCTGTGTCAGACAAAAATATGAAATTTTGAGGTGTCAATCAAAATCAGGACATTTTGAGATTATCATTAATAAAAATCATATAAAATCTTCTCGTAGTTGGCTGTTCTTGATCTAGTTTCAGACACATTTTTTTTAAATTCCTAACATTTTTAAGAATTCTTTCAACTGTTTAGTCTGTATGCAGTCATTAGAAGCACAAAAATCTTCAAGTTGTTTTCCTTTCTTTAATTATTGTTGAATGCTCTCTTATTTCCTAAGAAGCATCAAAGCATCGAAAAGATGCTTTGGAAAGTCTTTCATCTTAGCAGATTCCTCATCACCAACCTGTAATTCTTCTAAAAAAACCTCTTTTTCTAGTATTCATGTACATGTGCTTCTAACAATTATGTTTCTGTGTCAGAAAGCTTGTTAACWGTTACAACTCTTGTATATAATTTTGAAGCTGCAGAATCTGAAGGGTGTATATCACTGTGACTTGAAAGTTCTCAGGGTTTAGAGGTTTTTTTGTATCTTTAGAATGTTCCTTATGTGGTTTGCAGAGTGTATTTACACAGATGTTTATTTTTCTTCTGCCATTACTTAAAAGGAATATAGTGTCTTTAAACTTTATGTATACATACAAATATATACGTGTGTGTGTGTGTATATATATATAAAAGAAATTTAAATTTTAGGTCAGAGATTGTCAAAAATGTCATGATGGACAAATTGATAATGAGGCAGCAAGGTGGCGTTGTGGCAAGGCAGGCGGATGGTATTCGGGGTTGTGTTGGAGCGTTGCCAGCAGGTCAAGGGGATCCTTTCCCTCAGTTCAGTCCTGTTGAGGCCGTTCCTTCAGTACTCATCCAGTTATGGACTCCCCAGTGGAAGAGAGATGGAGCTACTGGAATGAGCCCAGTGAAGGCCATGAAGATGACTAAGACTACAGCATTTCTCATGAGGAAAGGCTGAAAAATTGAAACTATTAACATGGAGAAAACTAAACGGGAGTCTTATCAATGTCTGTATATATCTGAAGAGAATATGTGAAGAGGATGGGTTCACACTGTCTTCAGTGGTGCCCGGCAATAGGGCAAGAAACATTAGGCAGAAACTGAAACACAGGGAGTTCCGTCTGAACGTAAGGAGAAGCTTCTCGACTGTGATGGTGRTTAAACACTGGGAAACATTGTCCAAAGAGGTGGTGGAGTGCTTGAGTAGGACAGTTGGGCTAGATAATCTCCAAAGGTCCCTTGTAGTCTCAACCATTGACTTGTGCTGAAATTGGCTAGTATGTCTGTAGTGTGCACAGCTGGAAACTTCTGGCATGAACCTGCTAAATTTCATGGTAATGCAGACATAGCATCAAGCTGTCTATAGTTTTCTTCTGGTTTGATAAGCCTGAAAATAATCTGAAGTGAATGTACAATCAAGATAACATCCAAGAAGTAAGGCATTCTTTTAATGCTGTTACATGACTGGGTTATCCCTGCAATTGTGTTGGCTATTTAGGTGCCCTTGGACTAAGTTTCCAGTAATGGGGGCACAGTGCCCAGTTACACACRGAACTGGTCTTGCATGAACCATCTTGTACTGAAACAGTCTTTCGACAGATTCAGTAGCACTGCATTCATGTGAAATAGTCCAGATGTGCAGAATTTGCTCCATGCAAGATTACTTTCCTTTCAGTTGCTGAGATGTCTCCTGAATCTATGGCTAAGTTTGTGTTTGACCTAGATAAATCATCCCCAGATAATTGGGTTGAGTCTTTGTGATGGTGCCGAAGTAGTTCTTAGAAGGTGGCTTTGTAAATGCTGTCTACAATAAGAGGTAAACATAGGTTCCGTAAGGGCCAGCTTACACCCTCAACTTCAGTGTCTGACTTGGTYTGCACTGCATATTATTTTAGAATTTTCTCTGTCTTTGCACTGTAGCTACARAACAGAACTATTTCAGAGGTTGCCAGGATTTTTTTTTTCCAGGCTAAGAAGTATTTTTCAGGAGTTGGTTTACAGAATTACAAAAAAATAGGGCATTAGGTATTTTTATTTGAAGTATATAAGTTTTTATTTTAACTGAGGGACTCTGGAGTCCCTCATAATATTTTTAAATGAAAGGCTCTCCCAGCTGCTTGAAAGAAAATAAAATTAAATGAAGGGTATCAGACAGTAAGAATAGAATMCATAAAAGATAGTGCTTATTAAAGAAAATCCTACCCTTGCAGTSAGTATGTATAAATAAATAAATGAAATATGTAAGCACAGAAAAAAAAGATAAATAATTGGAACAAAAAGCCAATTTGTACTGCAGGGAATGTTGCATCTAAATCAATAATAAACAACTGTTAATGGACAAGAAGCAATAAAGAATAGATTTAATGGGCATTGTTAGCTGTGTCTCCGCTTTACTTATAGGAGTCACATAATAATGTGAATTTGAAAGATAGATTGAAGATTAGGTAGCTTTTTTTTTTTTGTTTCCCCTGAGCATTCAGAATTTTTTTTCTTTGTATAAAAAGTAAAGGAATTCAGTGGTGGATAGTGGTTATGGACATCAGGAGTTTTTGTTATGAATCAAGCTCTCAAAATATACCGTGAAATAAGACAGTGAGGGCCATGAAGACTATTGAATGTGAACGTAGTAGCTTGAATATGAAAAGTAATAGCTTATATTTTAATTTTAGGAGCATTAAAGAAGTGGAAAACAACAGATTTTGTCTGAGTACGTGTCATGTGGGCATCTGGCAGGTGGAAAAGCAAGGAAGGAGGGGTAATAGTGAAAAGAATTGTGGTTACCCTGTGTGTAGGTGAAAAAAATTGAGGCCATTTTTAAGCAGATCAGGGAGCTGTCAGTGGAAGGAAGGACAAGTAATGAAAGTATCATGTAGTTACATGAAACTCAGAAATGTGGCACTGAGAGAAAATTTATACCTGTAGAATTAAAAGAAGACTTTATTTTTTAAGTTGAGGACTTAGCTGAGAAGTATTCTTACAGTCCAAGTGATGGAGCTTAGGGAGTCTCCAAGGCTTTTGTAGRACAAATACTATATCCTGAGATAATGCTAGTTGTATGTTAATTGCTTAACAGAGTAATAGTGTCTTGCTAGCAGCTGCAGAGGTGATTAGGAGGCCATAAACAATTTCCAAATGGTATACTTTTCCAGGAGATGATGTCTTGCTACTTTTGTAACTGAATTCCTGTGGCATTTTCGGAAAGAACTTTGCATGAAAACTTGCATTGTTTTGCCCATTCATGGTGGTAACTTGGAATAATATATGCATCAGAAAGAGGAGGACCAAAAAAAAAAAAGTCTTCTCCTTGATTTGGTGCTGAGAAATTATAGGGCAGCTTGCCATTTTTTATGCTAATCTGTAGTACTGAATAATGAAACTTTAAAGATATTTTCCAGAGGTATTTAATTCACTTTTGTCAAGGTTAGGCCCTCATGAAATACAAATATTTATCTTGTAATATTATTTCTTAGTGTGTTTCATCTTGTCTAGTTTCAGGTATGTGCAGTAGTCTATATCTTGCATAAGCAGTGTTTCTCCGATTAATTGAGAGAAGGCAAACTTTTTAGTATTATTCAAATGACATGTAAATACCTATTTTAGAATAAGGTGAATCATGCACTAGAAATGTTTCTGTCTCCTTGAGTATAGTGGGAGTGTAAGGTGACTAATTTGACTGTAGATGTGTTAAGTTTGCTGACGCTCAACACCAGACTTAAAGAACAACGTCAGCAGATGCATCTAGTCACAAAGCTGCTCCGTAGTTTTGATTTATGCATCTAAGTAAAAATAAATATTATGAAGCATATTAAGCATGATTCTCTTAACTTCTTTCCAATATAACTTTAAAATAATGATTTTTTAAACAAATATTATAAATTGTGGTTATAAAAGTATTTAAGAAACTATGAGAAGAACTATGYAGACAAGAATTTTTAATTTTTGCCATTTGTATTTTTATACTGGAAGAATGAGGTTAACATTTTTGGCAGGCAGTTTTTTACTTTCTATAAATATCCTGTTGGAGTTGTTCAAAATCTGCAGATTACTAGCACAATATTTTAACTGTGTAATTCTTCACCTATGAGCTAAAAATTGTAGAACAAACAAAATCATTATGATGTGTATGCGGATAAAAACTTGAGGGAAGTGTACAGCTGTTCATGCTTCTGAGAAGACAACTGAGAAGACCTTGGCTGTCATCCTTGTTGAAATCAGGCGTGTGATTCTGGACAGCCTGTAGATTTTTAGGAGTATCACAGAATATTCAAGGTTGGAAGGGACCTCTAGAGATCGTCTAGTCCAAAGTAGTTGGGATTCTGGAAGAACTTTAGTAGTTTTTGTTTGTTTTTTTTTCCTTTATGTTCTCTTCTGTACTCCAGACCTGTAGCAGACCTGATTTTGCTCCCTTGCAGGTGCCATAGTTTCCACATTCTTCTCCTTTTTCAGCTGTTGGTGACTTCGATTGTGGTGGTTGGCTTTTTGTGTGCAAGACAACAACAAGTTCAGGGATATTTGAAGAGAAAAGTTTGTTTTTAGCTTGTTCAGTCAGTTTATCTGCATATACAAATTCTCTAGCTCCTAGTCTGCAAAAAAAAAAAAAAAAAAAAGTATTTTTTATAGGAATGTGCACTATCGAGTATGATTGCAGTGTAGTGTTAACAGTCTTGTCCTTTCATGTATATGTTCAGAAAAAAAATGTCTTTAAGTTGAAAAAAACTTTTTTTAAGCTCTGTTAGGTGTATTTCATTACTAGATTAAAAAGCTGTATCAGTAGCCTAGAAAAAAAACACAGAAGAGTCTGGGAAGCTTGCAAGTGTGTTTGTAGAGTATTTCAAGACTCATTGATCACATACTCCATATGTAAATTATAAGTTCACTGCTTTTTATGCCTCTTATGCACAAGCTGTTTATKTATGGTATCCTGAGAAGGAAGCTTGTAAGGTTGTTTTTGAGGATGGGATGGAGGAGTCAGGGAGAGGAAGGATGACTTATTGAGTTTGATCATATTATACTAAAGCTGCCTTGAAAATGTCTTTGTTTTCTAATAGAAATGGGTTGACGGTGGCCTTACCAATGGCCTCCCTATCTTGCCTGTGGGACGAACAGTGACAATTTCTCCCTTCAGCGGTCGATTAGATATCTGTCCACAAGATAAAGGACATGTGGATCTTTATGTTAAATTGGCAAAACAAGATATAATGGTGAGTTCCTTGTTAATAAATCACTTCAGATGAAGAAAAGACGGTTGAGCCGCTGACTTTATACTCAATTTTTTAAGYGTTCAGTTTCTGTTTATATATAGGGCTCAAGTACTGTGATATCTTGCTGCTTTATGTTGTGCATATGGAATGTAACTTGTCTTTAAATGCAGAAGAAATAAAAAATGTAGTATAAAATTTGTAGTAAAGATTGAAAAACTTTAATACAAAATTGAGCAGCTATATCACAGACTATTAAATTTAACCTTATTTAATAAAGTAGACATAACTAAAATATGAGCTGTCTTTGACTAGGGAGAATGTTTCTGGAAAAATAAGACTTCTCTAGCAGACCTTAGGAGAGGAAAGTTCCAGAACATCGCTTCATGCTTAGTTACTGAAATAAGCAAATACCGCTGAATGTAGAAGTTGAATTTAAGCTACACATATGAAGTGATGTGCCGGGACTTGCCACCTCATTGCTCAAGAGAGTTCATATTAAATTTTTGAACATTCAGACCACGGCACTTTCAGAAACGTTGTTAAGTGTTTGAGAATGTTTCTGTATTTTGAAACGTTGGCAAAGACTGATTTCTATGACCTCCCTTTTATCACTGACCTTTCGTTCTTTGCAAGTTTTTGCCCACWAAGTCTCACCACAGTGTTGTTTCCTTTCACATAATGAAAGAAAATACTGAATAACAGTTGATCGAGCATTGATCTCAAACTCTGTTAGAAGGAGTGGGGTGGGGCGGGAGTCCTGCTTAATAACAATCCCTTGTTATTTGCTGCATTTTTTAAGTTTTCATTTAGTTGATTCATAATGTTTTATTAATTCTGAGCAAAATTATGTTACATAATGCCATTCAGAACTGAATTTCTGATTTTTTTTTAGTGGTTCACAGGGATTTAAGCATGATAATACTCGGTAAATGGTCATGAGATATGAAATTTAATAATTAAATGTGTGCATCTCTTGCTGTGTATGGGCATTGATTATGATTTGCATCAAATACCCATCAAAAGGAGGAAAATGAGTTAACAGATGAATTTTGAGATAGAAAATAAAATGCAGAATTACCTTTTATGATTTTGTAATTGCAGTTGCACTGCAGAATCCCCACTATTATTTTAAATAATTCTATTTGAAACCCCGTAGCTTTTAGCATTGTAAAAATGCAAAATAAGAGTAAATTTTTGCAGCAGTATCCAAATCTGCCCAGCATAGGTACATACATACATACATGCATGCATACATACACATGCACACACATAAACATATATATATATCTTTTATCCAGATTGGAGTATGAACAGTCATTTGTCTCTTTAGTCTCTTCCATTCATTAGTGTCAGAATTTGAATAATTGCTTAGCTCAAATAATGGAGGTACTTTTGATGTTATGTTGCAAATTGTATATAATGAACTGTGTGTCGTAAGTACATATTTAAGTTAATCATGTAAATGAAGTGTCCAGAGCTTTATTAAATTTCATTATATTTGTAATTTTGTTTTAAGCAATTTAATGTCTTTATTAAATAGCAAACTTGGAAATCTTTTTACACCAGTTGAGAACACAAGTAGTTCTTATTTTGTTCCAAATGCAAACTACATTTATACCCATATATTAAACATTTCCTGGGAATGTTCCCAAGTATATGGCTATTTGCACTAGTAAGCTGTCAAAATATTTCCTGGAACGAGTTTAGCATGTGGCAGCTGCCACTCCTCCAAGCAGTTCTGGGGATGTTGCTGTAGTTAAAATGTTTTAGACAGTGTGTGGCAGAGGCTGCGAGCTTTAATGTAGGTTCAGACTGTTTCTGCCAGTTCATGTGAGCGCTCAGTAATTTTCCTGGGTGTGATTAATTTGCTGTTGTAGACATAGTCATGTTGGCCTTTTTCTACATACGCTGTATGAAACGGATGATACGACTGACAGCAACACAGTCAGGTAAAACACAGTTTGCTTTAATAAACTAATTCATGGCACCTCTCTCTGTTTGCAGCTATCTTTGGCCAACCTGGTAAGACTTAAYCAAGCTTTGTTCCCACCAAACCAGGAGAAAATGGAATTGCTGTACCAAAATGGATTTGATGATGCCGTACACTTTTTACTAAAAGAAAACTGGTTTGAATAGATTGTACTTTGAATATTAACTAAGCTTGGTGTCTGTCAAAACACAGCCACAGGCATTCTGCAAAATCTGTCAAAATTTCTGTATATCAAARTAAAAATGCCAATAGAATTACATCTGCTCTTTGAAGAAAATACACATGTGTTCTGGAKGGAATTCAAAGACATGTCAGAAGGGGAATTTTACTCATGTTGTAAAAGATCTGTTTTGTTTTGGGGAGGTTCAAATTTAGATCTGTTTCAAACCAGTATTTTATTGTGAGATTTGTGAAAGCTTGTGTTGTCATGCTTACAAAAAAAAAAAAAAAAAAAAAATCTCTTTTTCCTGTTACTTGAGACAAAAGTCCAGTTGTGACAAAAGATTATGGTCTTTGTTGCTCACATAATTGTTGCGCTGATTGAATGCTTGCAATATTGCTAGTCTGGAGATTCTGACACATCACCCCTGCTGTGTTATACGGGGCTTGAACTCGTAACACTAGCGACAACAAATAAAACATTGGCACTATTTTGCTGTGCTGATTATTTTTTTTTTTCATATTAAAAGTTCTTGTCCTTCACAGAGAGTGTAGTATTATTACATTTGAAATACTGTTCTGAAAAGTGCAATAGTGTATTTTTGTCCATTAAAATATATTTTAAAGGAGATCTAAATATTTATATTAGTTATATTTATTATGTTTTCTTCCCCAGCTAAAATTGAATAAATATATTTTCCTGAAACCTTGTCAAGAACCTTTTTTTATAGATTTCTCAGAATGCTGTAATAACCTGATTACTTACCCAGATCAGTCTGTTGGGGGAGGGGAGCTGAAGTGAGTTAGTGTGCAGCTTCTCGTGTCTTAGTCTTTTGCCATTCACTGTGCTTTGTCTTCAAGACTTTTGTTATTGATGTCTAAGTTCTGAAAGGTTTGGCTATTAGCACTGTTATGGCTTTTAAGTTGAATTCTTATAAAAATATGAAGTAGAATTATGTATGTAGGAAAATATGGTATTCTCCATTCTGTAAATTCTCGAGTGGGGAGAAGGGAGTCCGTTTTAATTTCTTCAAGGGGAGAAGTTAAAAATATCTGCTATAGAAATTTGAGAGCTTCTTTAGCATGTAACCCCGAGATTTATATTCAAGTTCAGGCTGCAAAAAGTTATTCATGCAGTAGAGATTGAGTTATTTGCTGATAAATAAAATAATAAAAGTATGCTTCTTTGCACAGTTTATTATTATTATTATTTTATTATTTCTAACTCCATAAGTTTCTGTATGGGATGTATGTGTTACTCCCACACCTGTGGAACTGCATTTCTGCATGTAGCACTTAGTACATACCTTTGAGCTGCCAACATTTGTGACAGGCTTGCTTGCATGCTTTTCCTCTGATATAGAGAGAAACTGAATAGAGACGGAGTTATACTTATAAACTAAGAAATTCTCCTCTTGTACAGTGAGCTGCTGCAACCCATACATCTCTTATTCAAGGGTAATGCCTATTTTGACAGTATGACAAGAGCTTGAAACAGCTGTTCATCTGTTTTACTTGGCATTCTGAGGTCTTGGAGCTACTCTCGTGCTTTCAGATATAGCCTGAATTTTTAGCTAAAGTGCGTAAAGCTTGTTAATCTGGATGCTGTTTCATAAGAGCTACCTGAAAGGAGATGGTTGTTAATTGCAAAGTTAATTTACAGATAACGAATGATACTTCTGAGTATTAACACTGTCACAGTTCTCTATCCTGCTTAATCCATAAAAATGAGTTAAAATCTGAATTCTTCCTGCCTGTATTAATGCTATCCACAGGAGCATATGCAGTATCATCTTTACCTGTGGTTGTTACATCTCTGTAATGTTCAGATTTTGCAAACCAACTTTCAGAGGTTTATGATGAGATTGAAGAAGGCTTTGCATGARGAAAAAAATAATATGCAGAAATTACATGAGGATGTAATTTCTCTGGTTAGGTAAACATATATTTTAATGTTGAAGCAAAAAAAGCAGAATAAAACAAATCTTTTCAGACATAACTCTTGTTCCTAGTGAGTAATGCTGCAGTAATAGCAAGACTTTTTACTACTGTCTTATAAATGCTTCTTGCTTGTGGATAACTTGCAGAAAGTAAAAGGAAGTAAATGATAGTGTCTGTGTTCAAGCATGTGGAAAAAAAAATCTTTAAAAATGGGGCTTTTCATGAACATTAACATCTTTCGAAAGTACTTGCAAAAGTTAATTTTAAATCAGGAGGGTTTTTACATTCTATTGATTTTGTGGAAGAAGCCATGTCTGATTCTGAGTAKTCTGGTTTTGTGCATACTGCAGATCTTCTTCAATAAATGTATGACATTGCCAATATCAGGTGCAAAGCTTCAGTTATATTTTTTTAATCCAAACAAAGGTGTGAAGTAGGTTATTTTCTTTTTAATATATATCTTATTTGAAAAGAAACTATCTACTTTCTATTGTAGCAGGTTATTTTCTTTTTAATATGTCTTATTTGAAAAGAAACTATCTACTTTCTGTTGTAGCTTACAAAAGAAGTTTGTATATTTTCTGTTTAATAAGCTTGAAAATTCCCAAGTTGGACTATGTTTAAGTCTGTGTTTACTACTGCAGATATATTTATTAATTTACTGTTYAAAAATCTATTTCAGTCTGGGCAGAGCATTGTTTGCAGCATTGTTTGATTTTGTTTTCTAATGTAAGTGCAATCCCTGTATCTAATGAAATAATCACAGAATCACAGAATGGTTGAGGTTGGAAGGGACCTCTAGAGATCGTCTAGTCCAACCYCCCTGCTCCAGCAGGGACACCAGGAGCACAGGGCACAGGGTCAGAGTCATTCAAATTTGCAGCACAAAGGAGGAGTAGCACAGATTGCTAGTGAAGGCTACTTCTAGTTTAGGAAGGCCAACAAGTACCTTTACTTATGTCTTGACTGTTTTCAGGCCAAAATTTAATCCCTTTTAGCCAATTCCTAACTGTCTTCACCTGCTATGGGACTAATCCTATGACATCCCCTGCCTCCCCTCCTTGTTAGAATGTATATTGCACCCTGTGTTTCTAACCTCTAGCCTAGAGTGTATTTTTGTGTGTGTGTTGTTCGTTGTTGTTGTTCATGTTTTGTTTTGTTTTGTTTTTCAGGGAGGTAAGGGTGTGGGGGGGGGAAGGTTTTTTTAAATCGAGTTTTGAAAGAGCATATATTTAAAAGCAGAAGAATGAGAAATCTTAAGAAAATCAGAGCCTCTTSACATTTGGTGGGGTTTTTTGTTGTTGTTGGAAAAGCATAAATCAGTTTTACTACAAAAGCATTCTCACTGTTATGTTTTAAATTTCTCAGAAAAAGAAAAAAAAGTAGTAGGAAATCCTCTTTAAAAGAGTCATAATTAAATTGTCTTCAAAATCAGTTTCCAATCTTTTTCTCAAAACTCAAGCCAAAATAACTACATGAAATTGTGGTTTTAATATCTTTCGGATAGACCATTATTCCTGCTCTCCCGTTAGAGGCTTTTCTGGTGAGGTCCTGGTCTGGCTGAAAGCAGAACTTGCACTTACTGTAATTACACCTTTTTGATGGATGTCCTTTACTTTAAAATGCTGCATAAATAGACTTCACAACCGTTTTATAAAACACACATTCTCAGTATCATAAAAGRCTGAAGGAAGTGAAACTTGTTAAATCTCATATCTGTTTTCTGCCACAATGTTTTTGGTAAGGGGTGATGATGAAGATAATTGCAAATGCTACCGTATATACGCATGCATACACGCATGTATAGTCATGAAGTGTGACATTTCTGCTGAAACCTGGTTAGCAGCTTTGCTGCTTGTGTTGTCTAGGGAACCGCTATTTGATAAGTTCACATTTCACAAGATTTTTTTTTATGAGTGCACATGCATTCAAATGTAGAAGATGAGACAAGATAATGTGATATTTTATCCTAAGGCTGAACACGTTTTTATGATAAAGACAATGGTAATATATGTGTTCTGATACTCTTACTTCATGTCCTGAAATGCTAGGATACAAGGATATTCTTCAAAATTCTATACAGAGCTATGTGTAAACATGCAAGCCACAGAAATCCTGGGAGATTATGAAGAGGGGTTTGTATTTGTAAAACATCTGTTTTTGTCCTGATCTATTAGGAATAAAGAGTGTTCTGTTCAATATAATTGATTTATACAGAAATCTTTTTATAGATTTTTCTCCTCCAAAGATCTGCTGTAAAGATACTTGTCTTGCATGTTTTAGGTATTACTTGGTCATACATATCTGTGTATGTGTATATACACACACATGTTTTATCATCTAGTATTTTACTATGATGAGACTTCCACTTGAAAATGTAAAGTCAATGTAAGATGTCATTGCTTCTCTAGTCAGTCGTGTACTGCTGTTTTTTTACATATGCAATGTAATGGAAGAACTGACTTTTTTAATAAAGAAGTGGTTAAAGGAGAGAAAAGATGTATAGAGGTACTAGGAAAAGACAGAGAAGCATTAAAAAACTATTTTCCATTATCTATGAATGGGGCAGCTGYATAGTACTTACGCTCACCGTTTTATTTTTTACGAGCCAATACGACATGGCRTCTAGTCAGATGAGAGAAGTAAGGTTCCAGTCTGAGAACTGGAAAATGTAGTAAATTTCCAGCTTTCCTCATTAAACTACAAATAAATTCTGGAGCTGTAATGCAGACTGTGAAACGAAAACTTGGAGGTGATCAAGAGAGTTATGGAAGTCCTTCTTCAAACTTTAGCAACTTACAGATGATCCATTCTTGATTCTTGTCTCCCCAACCCCTGTACAGCTGTGTGTGCCTATTTGGTTTAGGTTAGTCCTGAGCCAGTTTCCTTAACTACTCTGGGCTGTGTAGCCCTGCTCTGAGCTGATCAGGAAAAAATGGTGCCTTTGCTTAGAGCCACTGTCTTCTCCCAGAGATTTTGAACTTTCTCTGACCTTCAAGTATTTGGTGTTTCTGGGTAGAGACTTGAAGGGAAGGTCAGTGCGAGTATTTAACAACTGCTGCCTAATACAAGCAGCCTGGGACTAATCCACTACTCTGCTAAGCAGTAAAGCTCACTACCAAGRTGCAGATTCTCTATGTGCCCCTGATGGCTATGCAGTAATTTTATTTCCTCAAAATCGTTTTTTTACATGAATGTCAAATTGTCCTTTTTCTCATCCTTTTTTTTTTTTTATTCCACTTTTGGGACCTTCTGATGCTTGAAAGAATCAAGATCACTCAGCTATCTGTACTTTTAAATAAACTCTTAACTCTCCATATATTTAGTAATTTTTAATATTGRACAATAGTATTGAAGTTACTCTTTTAAGTTAGTATTTTTCTTTAACTTCTCTGCACATTCATATGCGGCAACCAAGGAACTATTACTCATTTTCAATACCCTAGAATTAGGGAATATTTAAGCTTTCAAGCTGGAAGTTTACACGTTTGTTGTCTGCCCTAAAGATGAGCTTGAAAGCATGTGGTAAATAACTGAGCTGTTCCCAAGAAGCATGCAAAAAGAGTGCAGAAAA